CTCTTTGCCGTCTGGTCATGATAGCGACGCGGTGAGTTGCGGGCGGTGGTGGCGGTGGTGGCGAGATGCCATGGCGGGAGGGGAGAAACGGGGGCGGCATGTCGGCCATCCAAGGGGTGCGGTACCTGAAAGGGGAGAGGGGCAATGACCCGGGGAGGAGGGTTGGCTACGTATGGGTGGCGATGCCCTCTCTCACTCGCTCGCTTGGAGGAGAGGCGGAGGGGAGAGCAGGAACGGTGAGGCGAGGGGGTGTGTGTGTGTGTGTGTGTGTGGCTGCGCGAGGTGTGTCTCCCTGTGCACAAGGGTGAGGTGGAGAGAGAGAGAGAGATCGTCAAGCGGCAGGAAAGGGGAGGGGCGGGGGTGCGAGGAGCAAACACGAAGGGTCGGGGAGGAGTACAGACCCGCCCCCCGGCGGGGGTCTACTTCGGAGGGGGCATACTTTTTCACCTCACCCAATGCCGGCCCAAGTTGCGGGGCGTTGAGATTTCCCCGGCGGCGCCCCCGGCGGCTGGGCTTCCCCTGTCCCGCCCGGCCTCCCCCACCAGGTGGCCTTGCCCCCGGGCCCGGCCTTCGCTGCACCCTCGGCAATGCACATACGCGAGGGGGCCAGGCGTGTGCGTCGGTGTGTCTGCGTGAATGCAGGCGAGCATGGGCACCGCCTCAATGCCCGACGCCAAAGAGAGCCCCCCAGGCGACAGGATCTGGCTGCATCTGGGCCCCTCGCCGGCCGGCATTCTAGGCGTGTGTGCCTCGCGGGGGGCGGTATCGGGGGGGGGGGGAGGGAGGGGGCTAGCCCGCACGGGAAGAGCATGCAAGAAGGGCTGGAAGAGCGCGCGGGGCAAGAAACTAGGCCCATCTCTCCGTGCCTCCAGGCCCGGGGGGGGGGGGGCCTGAATCCCCAGAATCGGGGCAAGGATCGCATGCCGAGAGCCCCGCGTGAGGGCGCGAACGGGTGCGCGCGGGTGGCCCATCTCCGTCAGGCCTCTCTGGAGAAACGTGGGACGAACCCCGATCTCAGCACACGGCGCCGCCCTCATGGGGAGGGAATGTACCCTCCGGGTGCGCCTCAGACCGCCCACCCCCTTTTCTGCACGAATGCTGAGCCACACACACACACGCACACCTGCCGAGACAGAGAAAGAGACAGAGGATAGGTCGAACCAACCCCCAGATGCGCACAGGGAGACCTCCCCCGGAGCAGCAAACTTGAAGTTGCGGGCACCGCGGAGGGGCTGACGATCTACCACTGACGAGCGTGCCTCACAGGGGTGCCGGTGGTGGAAATTGGCCCAGGGAACCGGCCCCCCCCCCCCC